AAAATTTAACATGGCTCGGTTAGTATGACCTACGTCTACGGTCGAGAACAGCAAAGAACTTCACTAATCACAAAAGAGAAGATTACAAAGGATATCACTCTCTAACCTCACTAACGAATCACACAAAGAAAGAAACTAACTCCCTCTCTCTGTCTCTCTCTCTTCTATCTAACTTCTCTCTATCTGATGCATTCACCCTTCACCACTCCTCCATTTATAACCTTCCAATATTAATATAAAATTATTAATGGTTGGTGTAATAGAGAGTTAGGTTAGGGAATAGTTGGACTAGAATGTACGGAGGTAGGTGGGTTTTATCTTCATATGCTAAGTCACATTACAACATGGGTGATATATCCCCGATATATCAGCGGATATGTTAGAACAACTCCAATGGAGCGCCAAAACTCCATTTTAGAGTGTTTTGGCGCTCCAATGGAGCGCCAAACACCCCGCTAAATTAGCGGGGTGCTACAGTGTTGCGCCAGAAATGGCGCAACACTGTAGCGATAGCGCAGTTTTTTTTTTTTTTTGCTTTTTTTCTTCTAAACTTTATTCTTTTATTCATATTTTCTTTCCTTTTTGCTTTTTTCTAAACTTTATTCTTTTTGCTTTTGTTTTTTATATTTATATTAATAATATATATTAACTTATATTAATTATTATAATAAAATTAGAGTATAAAATAATTATTAAAATAAAATTCAACAAAATTTATTATAATGAAATTAGAGTATAAAATGATTATTCATAAAATATATTATTATAATTAATTATATGTAATGTATTATATAATTACATAATTTATTAAATATTTTAAATAGATAAAATGTTAAAAGATAAGAATAATAAAAGGAATATTCTTTTTGGTGTAAAATTTGGTGTAATGGGTTGGAGATGGAATAGTGATTTGGTGTAAAAACTACATCAACTTGATGTAAAAACTACACCATTTTGGGTTTTGTGGTTGGAGATGTTCTTAGTCAAGATATCCTTTCATATGACTTGTCGCAAAACAATATACCACGTTTGGCAATTTTTGGGTGAAATATCATAACTTTCGCATTATATCAAAAGACATTTTGACCTAAAAAATCATATGAAATGTTGCAATGTTGATTTGTACTTTTATTCATTTCACAAGGTTGATTAGTGACCCTAAACATATATTATTTACATTTTGTATGCTTAGATTTTATTAAGTATGTTGAGATTACATTTTAGTTAGTTCAACAAAAAAAAAGTAAATGCAAGATGAGAGGCTTAATTCCTCTTTAAAAAATAAAATTATTTTATATGATTTGCAGCTCCTGTTATAATCAAAGGAAAATTAGGTAGTGAGGTAAAAACTGAAAATGTGGTTGCAAGACAATACAACCTAGAAATAGCCTCAGAATATTTTACTTGATAACCTAGACCAACAATAGGTAAATTAATAGCATAAAAGAGGGTGAGAAGCAAAATCCAGTGAGATGGTTTCAAACTGGGGCTCTGGAAGCCTTTCATGGTTATTACAGTTGTTGCTAAATGCATCAAATTAGAAGGTAATGCAAGCACCACATGACACATGAAAGTGACAGCTATACAGATACGGCACGAGGTAATGAAACTGACTGCGACAGTTTGAGGTAATGAAACTGACTGCGACAGTTTGAGGTAATGAAACTGACTGCGACAGTTTGATAATTTGTAAAGTAGACAAGGGAGGTTTTCCTGGGAAGAGACTTCTATATCTAGGATGTAATGACTAATAAAAAGAGATAATGGCTATTTGTGCAATATTTGTTAGAGAAATTTTGGAGAAGCTTGCATTTTCATTCTACCAAAATAATATAAACTAATTCCAGAAATATGAGAAATTCTAGTCGATAAAGTTCTGACAATGGCCTCTTTTTTATCTTTTATAGCTAGCTGACAATCATAGTGCAGCAATACAGCCTGCAGCATTCGGAACAATATGTTGGTCACAATGCCAACAAGGGCAGTGCGGTGCCCGAAGCTCTGTCCATGAGCGGGTCATGGCAGGGGTCAGACCACTTTGGGTCTATTGTACTACCTTGCATTTTTTCCAATAGGTTGTTTCCACGAGTTGAACTTGTGACCTACAGGTCACAATTGATCACAATGCGAACAAGTTAATTGAAAACTTGCTCTTGACACAAATAGGCCTAACATACAAGTGTCTCACTCCATAGATTTTGACTTGTAAGTTCACAGATATAATTATGGATCACAAACCAGGTTTTTGAATTGTGAGAAGGAAGATCAAAAGTAGGTGTAAGTGAACTTGGATGGAGGTAGTGAAAAAGGATATGACAATGATTCTGTTTATTAATCTTACTATGGAGATGGTCACTGTAGGACTGAATGTGAGAAAGGGATTCATGTCTCCAATCCAAAATTGTGTTCGAAAAGGTTTTTGTTGCTGTTTAATGTTGTCAACATACTAGAATAAGTTAAACCCAAGAACTTAAATGCTGGAATCTGATGTTAGAATAATTTTATATCTAATCTATCTTAATTTTCACATGACCATGGGGTTGATTGAGACTTTAAATAGCATTCACACTTCTATCTGTTGTATATCATGTTGGACGCCAGTTAGCAATATTCTAAGGCACGATGATGTTACGTGTTTGGTCCCACGATGCATAATGTCTATCGAACTGCACTAAATTAAACGAATATGAAATTTTAGTATTATGCATATATAAACGCTAAATATATTTTAAAAAATAAGCGAAAAAAACAAAAGCGGGTTGGGGGTGGGGCGTTATGGGGGTGGAGGGAGTATATATTGATGTAAACTGAAAGGACAACTAGACTTCCGAGACATGTGGAGAAGAAGTTGTACAACCAGCAGCAAAAACTTACCCTCTACATAAGAACTTTGAAAAGAATAGAAAGAACTGGAAGAAAAAGACTGAAAAAAGAATACATAGTCGCAGCTGATAATCACCAGTTATCATTATCGCATTCACCATCATCTGTTGCTATTTTGCCATTTCACTGAATGAAGCATCCTTAAACACATAGGCATTTGAAGAATAAATGGGTTGAGGGTTGTTGGGTTTGGAGCTGATCTCCAAACTGATTGTGTGCCCATGTAATCGTCTATCAGATGCATAATCTGCATGGACCCAATTACACAGGTTGACTATTCGCTGGTACAGGGTTAGATCCACAAACTAGGCAACTTACACCATAGTTTCTAGCCATTCTTTTTCGACACACATACTGGACATGATACTTGTTTTGTAAGTACTCTTAGGAATTCATACAACATAGTTTATAATACTTCTTGTTCGACACACATACCAGCCATCGTACTTGTTTTTTATGTACTCTTAGGAATCAGGCTTCAATACATCATGTCATTTCATGCTATCTCCATGTCACTATTTCCATGTGGGTACAATATAGTCTCATACAACTTTTAATAAAGCAACAACAATTGGCTGTAATGATCAAGAATAAAGAAAAATATAAACAAGCAAGTCACAATGGAACAAAAGAAAGTGAAAAATGAAATCTTAGAAGTAAATTGGGCAAGGTGGCAGCGGAACCGAATAGAAGGAAATGAGATGGCATAGGCATGTAGCACAAAGAATTAAAAACTCCATTAAGGTTAGGACTTTAATGTGTCTCTAAAGGTTCAATAAACGAAATAAATAAACTATGGATCTGATCACTTTGGATGTTGTCTGCAGCACAAATTCACTGGATAGTGATTCACAAGATTGGTAATAGAAAAATTTCAGGATTGTAAAATTTTGAGGATTGTATTAGTTTTACAATGATTCCTAATCAAGTATCTTTAAAAACTGCCTTTTCCAGTTGGAAAGGGATTTGAACATTTCTATGATAAGCATCCCTTACACAAATCCAAAACAACTCTATGCATCTCTTTCTTACACAAGTTATGTGTGACACCCCCACTTTAGTCCCACATGGACTAGTGTGAAGAAATATTAGTGGTTTAAATAGATAAAAACCCAAGGTCCAAGAACAACTAGTGCTAGCATTTTGGCAGTAGATTTTAGCTAACACCGAGTTGCTCTTTGTAGATCCCACGGCTTGCACGCGCCAACGGGCCCTTGGGCCTGGGGCGTGACAAAATGGTATCAAAACAGTTATCAACCGTAAGTGTGGAGCTAAGTGCTATACAGGACTAAGTGTTACGCCGCATGGATGTGGTGGGAGCCACCTCTAGAGCCCATAGGAGAGTCCACATCGTAGTCACTGGGATGTGCCAATTGTCATGTCGTGATGACGAGGACATCGTCTTTGTAAGGTAGGGTGATTGTGACACCCCCACTTTAGTCATACATGGACTAGTGTGAAGAAATGTTAGTGATTTAAATAGAGAAAAACCCGAGGCCCAAGAACAACAAGTGCTCACATTTTGACAGTAGATTCTAGCCAAGATTGAGTTGCTCTCGGTGGGTCCCACGGTTTGCACGAGCCAACGGGCCCGTGGGCCTGGGGCGTGACATTATGCACCGCTTGTTCCATGTACAAAGTGATTAAGTAACCATGATCTAATGAGCTCGATTAAGAAGAGTGGCTGGGATATGTTTTAAGATTAGGGGAAAACGATGGTAAGCCTAAGAGAATATGGGATAAAATTGAAAATTTTGCTCAGTGAATCAACTAGTAAAAGTTGACAAGGCTTGTCATTTTGTTCTTAGAAACATTAATCTATTATGAACCCTTCATCAGTTCTAATTAGTTAGGTAACAAATTAATGCTACTTCAGATTGGCACCAGGATTGGACATTTCCAAGAAAGCTCCCTGAATGTACCTAAAACTTTATACTAAAGCCCTCTCATATAATTAAAAATAACAAGAATAAAGACTTCAGATAGAAAAAACAAAAGAAATAAACGTCAGATAGAAAACTTTCAAGCACTCCCTCTTTCTGTAACCCTAGTTGGTAATCCTCAAACAGTAATCAAAGAAACAAAGGAAAATGGTCAAAAAGGCGACATCTTTTTACCTAAATTTTTAAACAGAGTTTGGAACTTGGCATCAAAGGCATCAACCTCGAATTATTTGGCTGAGATGTGGAACCTTAGGTCTGCGCGCATTCCTCCTCTCCAATAGCAAGCAATTTCACTCCAAGATCCAAGTGTGGCAATTCTTTTGGATACAATCTGAGATTTCTCGCCAGCTTGAAGGGGAACGGACTAAGAAAAGAGAAAGTTACATGAAGGAATTAAGGTTAGAGTGAGAAACAGTCTTCGTCTTCTGTTTTTCTTAGAAGTAAAATATGTAAGGTGGCAATAGAGTGCTAGAGTAGAAGAAAATGAGATGATGTAGGCATATAGGGTAAAGAGTTATAGAACTCGGTAGGATAGCTTTCAGTTATTTCTAAGGCTCAACACGAGGAATAAATTAATTATGAATATGAACTCTAAGATAGTATCAGAAAAAGCTTGTAGAAGCTCTGGATGTTGCCTGCAACACACATAATTCACCGAATAATGATTCACAAGGCTGGTATTAGGAAGTTTGAAGGATTGTATTATTTTTAAAATGGTTTTAATTAGGCGGCTTTAATAACTGTCATTTCCAGTTGGCATCCATTTGTGTGAAAACCATCCATTACAGTTTACGCATATCTAAACCAAGCCTATTCATCTCATTCTAACCTTTTATTTCCATGCACAACGTGATTAAGCAACCAAAGAGCTGAGGAGCTAAGTTAAGAAGAGGTGCATTTTCAGACTCAGAAAAAGGAAAATAAATCTAAGAGGATGTGGAATAAACGTCGCAGTTGAGTATTTAGGGAAGAGCTTGTGGTTCTGAATGTTATTTAGTGAATCACCTAACAAAAGTTAGCAAGGCTGATCATTTAATTTCTCGACACATTAATCTACTAGGAACCCTTTACCAGTTCTAACTGATTAGCTAATAAATAAATGATACTTATAAGTGGCATGGAAATTGGACATTATCAACAAAGCATTCCTAAACACAGCTAAACCTTATTCTAAAACCCTCCTCAGGTGCAACAAGCTACAAAAGGAAGAATAAAGAGGCTAAATTCAAAAGAGAAAGAAACTTACATCAGATAGGAAACTCTTCCTCCAATCGGGCATATCGCTTCTTCAGTCGCTCGCTAAACTCTTACATCTCTGATGCTTTTTTCTCACTCCCTTCTACTTCTCTTGTGTTTCTAACTCATCCAGAATGCTCTTCAAAACCATAATCAACCATTTCCACACAGCAGCGTTCTACAGCAACAAATTTTAGCATTCGTAATTTCATACGAACCATGTGATCGGTAACTTTATCTTTTAAATTCACTTACGAACACATGTATTCTCTCCTATAGTTACTCTATTCTATTCTCCATTAATTCTCTATTAATAAAATTGCGCCAAAGCCCTTATCACCCAAAAGATAATAATAAATAAAAAATCCGAAAAAAGCACGAGGAATTGGCCAAAAGGTGCATGATGGGTTTTACCTAAATTCTCGAGCGGAGGGGCTTGGTAGTAAGCATCAAGGGCGTCAACCAAGAACTCTTGGCTTGAGATCTCGAATCCTACATATGCATTCCTCCTGTCTAATGACATGCAGCTTTGATCCGAGGACCGAGTGCCAGTTAAAGCTGCTGCTTCGAACCCCTAATCGATAGTTTGTAAGACAAATAACCCTAGAAATAACGAAAGGAATTGGCAAAACGAGACAAACTCTTACCACAATTGATGCTTGGTAGTAAGCGTCAACGGCGTCAATCCCGGACTTTCTGGCCCAAATCTGGAACCCTAGGTCCGCATTCCTCCGCTCTGATACCAAGTAGCTTCGCTCCGGGGATCGCGGCATGGAGAAATTAGGGTTTACGGTAACGGAGGAGAGAGGGAGAGAGTCTTCGTTTTCTGTTTTCTTAGATTTTTCTGAAGCTGTCGCCGGAGAGAGAGAGGATCCGACGGGATTCAGGGGATTGGATACCAGAGACGACGAGATGGGGTTTTGGCGGGAAATATTGCCCGATGGGCTTTTGGGCTGTTTGGAAAGAGGTCTTTTAGGGGGAAATGGCTGGAAAGCCCGTCAAAAGCTGCATTTTTGACAGGTTTTCCCCCTACCCAAATCGCAAACAAACAGCCCCTTACAGCAAATTCCGGAGAGTCCCCGATCATAATTGGATGCGTAACCTACTACAGATATAACATGTTCAATCTTTAGAGGGCCCATATAAAGAGATCCAATAAGATATATGGTCAGGTCAAACGATTTTTTTTTTTGTTGATGGCGTCTTTGGCGCACACGGGAATTGAACACAGACTCCCACAAGGGAGCGACATGGTTTTACTATGTGACCTACTGGACCGCCCCACTAGTTAGATAAAATGATTAATATATGGATTTTTCCCCCCCCTAAAAACCACCTAAAATATGGTCATTATATGAAAATTACTTTTTTATTCTCAATCTATATGTAAACCAACTTTAAAGTGGGTTTTGTTCCACAACCGCCTCCTAGTCAAATTTTACTAAAATAAAAAATAGACTTAACAATAACATATTTAAGGCACACGACTTGTATCATAACTAAACATAAAATATTAAGAAAGTGAGTCATATGTCTGGAATGTTGAGTTTTCAAAGATATTTTAGGGGATTTTTAGACATAAACAGTAACAAAGTGAATCACATGTCTTAAATGTGAGTTTTTCAAGGATATTTTTGGGTTTTAAGTGAAAATTTAGATTTAGAGATGGTTTGTTGGAATAAAAATCTATTCTAAAATTGGTTTGCATATAAATAAAAATGAAAGGTGGTTTCTGTATAATTACTTTTTTTATAAGGTGGTTTCTGAGAAAAACCCTCAATTTTTTCAATAAGTTTTGTCAAAATGACATCAAAAAGTTTTGTTACTTATCATCCAATTTTGAAAAGTAGGGTTGTGTTTGACAATTTCAAATAGGATTGGATTTAAACTAGCTTTTGCTTAATGAGACTAGAGTTGATCCATATAGGAGCTGGTACAAAACAAAACTAGTTTAAGGGCTAGAGTTTTGAGGAAAAAAATACTAGTTCAAATTTGCCAAACTAAAAACTAGTTTTTTAAGTCACTTCATATTTTTCATGTTCATGTGCAAAGCAGAACATAAAACAAGTGTGTCTAAGTGCAAAGCACGTGCATTATTGTTTCATCCCTGGCTCACAAGCTCGTTGGCGTGATGTAAGCACTTGGACTCGCTGAATGCAACATGCTATTTCGCTTAATCTACCGCCAAAAATGGCTTATCATTGTTGCACTTTGGTTCCCCAGTTTTACCATTTAAACTCATCAATAAGTCCTCAAACAACTTTTATGAGACTATTAGTGGGAGCATCATAATGACCCCTACTTTAAACTTCAGACATTCTTGTTGTTGCATGATAATCATTCAATCTTATTATCATCACCTGGCAATGTGGATTTTAGAAGTGGCTCCTATGGGTTCTAGACTCTCATACACCCATGTAATATAGCAATTAGTCATGCGTAGCACTAGTCCCACACTTTCTGCTAACTAATTACTTTGATAGCATTGAGACCCACTGAGCACGACAAAATTTTTAGCCTAATCCAACATGAAAAATGGTTAACTATCATTATACTTGCCTCCCTAATAATATTATTTAAACCATCAGTATGCTTCACGCAATAGATATGGGACTAGAAGTGGAGCCATCCCAATATTGCAACGCCCCATTTTAGTCCCATGTTTGGTAATGGTAGAGATGAGGATTGGTTTATAATGTGAATCTTGATATTCAAGTAGGAACACTGTCTAGTCATTTTTGGTGGTGAATCAAGCCAAAAAACATGTTGCATTTAATAGGCTCCATGGTCTAAACACCAACGAGCTCGCGACCGTGGAAAATGACTAATGGCAACAAACCAGCTAGCTAGCCAAAAGTGTGGAACTAATTATTATTTAGAGGTTGAGTACTACATTAGATGTGTTGGGATTTTAGATCTTGTAAAAACCCCAAAAACTACTAAACACATCAAATAGATTCACACAAGATTTAACGTAAAAACCCCTCAATAGGGGAAAAATCACGGGATCAAAATCAATCCACTATCACTTCCAAATTATAATCTTTTGCACGGACAAAGACTACCAAACCCTCTCTTTCACAAATACCTTTGAACCCGGTTACACTCTCTAAAACATTAATTACATAAATATTGCCTCTCTCCTTCTCTCTATTCTAAAATTCTAGAATATGACGCCTTATTTAAAGACACCCCTGACTTACCCCGCCAAGTTAACTTGACCTCTAAGATAACTACTAGGATTGGGCCTAGCCTTCAGACTCGCATCCAACTTGAAGTTTGAGTTGGTACCCAATATATCCTCCCTCGACAAAAAAATCTCCTAGTGTCTTAACGGCTTCAAAAAAACTCACTCTCTTGTTATTGTTCTTCACCTCTCCCTTGTGAACAAGAGCCTAAGAAGAGTCATCTACACCATTAACAGATCGCCCATTTAAATAGCAAATATGGTTGTTATTCTTCCTTCCTCGTAAAATTAAATTACTATTTTATACATTTTGCACCACTCTCCTTCACCCACATACTTGTACCTATGCGATGCCATCTTACCCAACAAAATTAAATTAGCACCACATGACGGCACAAATCTCACATGATGAAAAATTTTGACCTTCTCAGTGTGAAGCTTGAGGCAAACACTTCCAACATCTTTAACATTCATTTTTTCATTGTTTCTAACAATCACGTCGTCAAATTCTTCATATGTCTTAAATATGTCAAAATAATTTTTTTTGTTGCAAACGTTCATAGAGGCCGCAGAATCTAACACCCAAGTGTTACTCACATCAGTACTTGTACTTTGCATCAACAACAACACGTTTTCATCACACACAACCACCAAGGAGTCCGCCTTCTTCCTATTTTCTTGAAGCTTCTCTAATACTCTTCAAATCACCTCGCATCTGGGAACATCTGAACTGAATGTGACCCTTCTCTCCGTAATAATAGTACTCCCTTTCATTGTCATCTCAGGCCCAAGATATTTTAACCTTCCTCGATAACTGTCACATCTCCTCTTACTCCTCCCTTTATTTAAACCTTCAAAAGCTAGTACACTCTCACCATCATTAGATGTGCTCTCCTTTCCCATCATTCTTTCATTCTCTTTTTTTTTGGTCAATGAAGTAATTTTATTTCATTTACCAAAGTGAAACAGTTATGAACATCAAGATCTCTACAGAGAGAAAGCTAACAAAAAATCTTCTAACAACACTAACTAACTTCTATCAAACTAACTAACTTCACAAAGATGTAATCCAACCTCTATTTTCAGCTGAAATAGGATTATTCATGTAGATGGTTAGGATATCAATTTTGATATTCCTAACCACTTGAATTGTGCTTCTAATCATCATTCTTTCATTCTCACATAAGAGTGCTATCACATTGTCAAACTTTAAAGTCTACAATTATCGTCTGAACTAATAGCTTGTACAACTTCGATAAGGAAGACAATAGGAGTAGCACCTGCTCTTATTTTTTAATCTCATCATCAATATTCATAAGTTGGCAAACTAGCTGATTAAAGGCATTGATGTGATCTTGAATTGCAGTACCTTCTTCCATCTTTAACGAATAAAACTTCATCCTCAAACACAATCGGTTGGTCATCAACTTTGATGCATAAATCCCCTCGAGACTTTCCCACAGTCCCCTTGGTGTGGTCTCTTGCATAACATTATACTTAATCTCGGGGACGAGTGCCAAACAAATTGTGCTAGCTGTCCTCTTTTGCATGGAACTCCATTCAGCATCATTCAATCCTTCAGGTTTCTTCTCCTCTAAAGCTTGATCAACACCTTGCTGTGCAAAAAAATCTTGAACCGTGTATTGCCATATTGCAAAATTTGTCTTGCCCTTGAATAACGGAATATCGAACTTCGGACACAAATAAGTCATCATCCTCTAACCATAATCAAAGTTCAAATCAGTCACTATAAAGATTGAATTTTATAAAAATGATGTCAAAAATAAACTCAGCATGTCGAAAAACCCTAGGAACGACTCTTGAATCACCAAAATCCGCCTCCAAATCCTTGATCAAAAGACAAATCAATCTGCACCGTTGGATTTAATTTAAAAGTTTGTAAGCAAACCCTCACCATGTGAACAGTGTTCCCGCCACCGCTATAGTATTACCTACTACAGTACCTCTTTTCCTCTAATGTCAATCACCATGCTTCAGCCGCTAACGCCTTCACCAATCGTACACCGGTCAAACCTCCATGAACCATCAAACCCCGCTCTGATACCACTTGTTGGGATTTTTAGATCTTGCAAAAAATCCTGAAAATCACCAAACACAGTAAATAGAATCACATGAGATTTAACATAGAAAACCCTCAATAGGAAAAACCCACGAGATCAAAATCAATCCACTATCACCTCCGAATTATAATCTTTTGCACAAATAAAGACTGTCAAACCCTCTCTCTCACAATACCATTGAATTCAGTTACATCCTCTAAAACGCTTATTACAAGAACTTTTTCTCTCTCCTTCTCTCTACTCTGAAACCTTGAAATATGACGCCTTATTTAAAGACACCTCTGACTTGCCCACCAAGTTAACTTGGCATCTAAGAAAACTACTAGGATTGGGTCTAGCCTTTAAACCCACATCCGACTTGGAGTTTGAGTTGGTACCCAACAAGATGAGCATAATGAGTCACTTGTAAAACCTTTATGAGTCACCTCTAGAATTTACATCATCTAATGATGATTCGGTAATGAATTATTGCCAAGCCTTGAGAAAGACATTGCTTCTTCTAAACGTGGTGATTGTGACACCTCATTTTAGTCTTACATTGAATAATAGAGATAAGTTTACGTTTATAATATGAACCTTGAGAATTAGGTAGCAACATTGGCTAACCATTTTTGACGATGGATCAAGCAAAAAAAGTTGTGGTACTTAATGGGTCTC